CCTCTCGACCCCTGCACTCTCTCCTCCTCCTCATCCTTCCTCACCCCCACCTCCATTCTGTGTCTACCTATCCAGCTCCTCCTTGTTCCTCCCACACAACTCCACATGAACGCGAATGTCAGCTGCTCACCCCCCTCACTCACATCTTTACTCTCTGCACGAGCTCAGAAGCTAAGACAAAACGGGATGTCAACGCGAGAAAAGGCGGAAACTGAACCTTCAGAATCCACCTGGCGCTGATCGCAAGACTAGATATTAGATCATATCAGTTTAGGGGACAAATGATCCCTGTGAGGGGAAAGAGTCACCGATGACTACTGCGAGCCGCGGTATGCGTGAGATGCGTTTGGTTTCATTGGTGTAACAGATACAGACCGACTACCAACTTTAGAGGATGACTCGTCACTTTCTGAGATCTGGGAACACCGCAACACTAAAATGAATTGTATGAGGCCTTACTTCTACATCTACTTCTACGTCTGATCGTCTCACTGCTCCTGTTTCACGCTGTCGTCAAATCCAGTAACGAATGGCGATCAAATCTACACAAACAAGCGCGGAATCGTCCTTTTCTTGAAGAGCAGACGGTGGACTGCAGCGGATGAAGATGTTGTTGTTGTTGGTGCGGAGGTGCAGGGTGCGTCAGCGCTGTTGGGTGTGGTTACTGAGACGAGCTTCTCTTCAGCCTGCTGTTAGTCACTCTCACTGTTACACCTGCTGATATTCAGACTCTTTGTGTCTGTAGGTTTATCCTAAATTCACCAAACGTTACCATTAGATAATGCCTCATTTGCATATTCAAACATAACATCTAATAAAACTTGTAATCTCAAAAATATGTGTCTTAACGTCAGTAATGAACTGGTGGAGTTTCACGGTGATAACTGCACTTGAACTGCTATAAATACACCGGTCCAAACCAGCACATTTACACTTCCACCTGAACACATTCTCATCCCGACTATTTTTGAAATGCATGCTGGGAAATAAAGTAATTCAAGACAAAGTGAAGAAAGTCAAAAGTGTAGATCCTAACAAGGCTCTGTGACACAAGAACCCCCGACGTGTTTTGAACGCCACGCGCTGACGAGGTCAAACAGCGACGGGTCGGTTTGTGTGCTGGACATTCTTCCACTCGTTAGTTTGGATCGGAGCCGAACTAAACTCACTTTACAGACGGACTTTCCTGCAGTTTTTCAAAAAGGGGCGGAGGCCTGTTTTTGCCAGCTTGCCAGAGCAAACGTGGAGCTTCCCCTGATGTTTACTCAGGGATGGATTCCACCTCATTTAACCCTCGCACCACTGCTTAACGCCAATCGGCTGGTGTTTAAGGCGCTCCCGACCGATGACAGCATCACTGGTTCTTTAGTATCGATCACCTTTTCTCACACGATGGATCAGTAGTTACTCAGTAACTATTTAAGAGACATCAAGACTTGAATCAGCTGTTGAGCCGCTGACAGACGTCAGTCGGGAACATTTTTACTGCAACGTGTGTAACATTTCTACGAGTTTCCTCATTTAGAAGGGAGCACCAATCATCCGCCTTTCCACAACGACAAAGACGAGACGGCAAGTCGAACACATCACGAACCACAAACACGCAACTGTCCCTGGAGACACACTGTGCTCCCAGACAGCGCACAGCTTAGTGCTGCAACAACAACGCAGCCTGACTTACAGGTCGTACCAGGAAACACAACTGCTTCAAATGTTCCTCATTTCTGCCTCGCTCCCAAACAAGAAGGCTTGTGTCGCCTGAAACATGTCTTATTTTTATCAATAGAAATCTCAATTCACCAACATACAGATGGTGAATTAGTGAGCAGAATCACTAAGAGTGGTTCTGAAGTTTCCATTCCTAAATATTTCTGTCCATGCATTCTTTACAGAAGGAGGATTTATTTCTGGGTCTCCCTCAATGTTACCTCTTTGTTACATAAAGCCACTTTAATAAAACTGGTAAATGACGGAGTGAGAGAGCGACAGACCTATGGAGGAACAATGGCGGCAACGGTAGAGAGATTGAAATGAAACCTTCCTTTTCCTGACTGATGGCCCGTGCATTGTACATCTACAACTCATTATACTTGAAGTAGTACTAGGAGCAAATCATAAGAAGTACATCCGACACATGAGCGGCACCATGAAGCAGCACGTCAAGGACACACAATACATATAACGTACATCCTGGACGCACAAGAGTCAACCTCTCGTGGAAAATGTATTTTCAAATATTGTCTATAAGCAGCTTGAACTGTGGGTCACAGAGGGAGACGTGTCATCACTCTACAAGAGAAGTAAAGTTAGAGCTCAGTGGTACTTTTATTCTGTCTCAGAACGTGACTTCTCTGCTGCCTCTTCATCCTCTTCATCAATGCTGACTAGACGATTCCATTGTGTGTGTGTGTGTGTGTAATTCTTTTAAAACTATATTCTCTTGGCCCTGTGCACAGCTGGTACTAACGATAACGAACGGGGGCCAATTTACCCACAATTCAATGCCACAGTTGGCCACATGGAGCATAAATATCAAAGCCCGGTCTGCCAGCTATGATTCTTCATAATGAGGAATCCTACAGCATCCTTCTGGAGGTTTTCATGGCGCCACTCACTGGATCCTTCTGAGCGCCCGTCGCTCCCTATGAGCGGCACCGTGATGGCCGCCGTGGCGACACCGTCGGTAGACATGGTGGTGTAGACGACGGGCAGCGACTGCACCACCACGGGGATGGTCTGGAGCTGGCCCACCTTGCTGGGCATGGTGACCGAGGGGATCGTGTGGATGACGTGGAGGATCTGCTGGCCCCCGGCGCCCTGAGTGGCCAAGATGGAGCCCGGAGAGAGGACCTGGAGGGGAAGAGGAGGGATGTGATTAGTGGCCTTCACCCTCTCAAAGTTCAGCGTACCAGTGGAGGTAGCTAGTCGTTACCATGGAGCCTATGGCCTGCATCGCAGAGGGGATCGATATGGTCGACAGGCCGGGCTGGGTCATGATCCCGCTGGGTGCGGGGTTGACTGTGATGGCCGTCGTGGAGGCGGGGAGCGAAGAGGGGCGGGGCTTGTTGAGCGACAGGTCGACGGGCTCGGTCTGGTCCTCGGCCGGGCACGGCTCCGGCGAGGACGGCTCCGTCTTGCAAACCGGCTCCGTCTTCACCTTCAGGTCTGTCGGCTGCGAGCAGTCATCACCGACGTCGGCCCGCTGGAGGAGGAACAATAAGAGACGTTTAGAAAGCAAAAGGACGAATATTCAAACCATCTCAAGAGAGAAAAGTCTCTAAAAGAGCAATGACATCACTCTGATACTCTGAAACTCTGGTCTCATCCAGCCGTCGTACCGACTGTAAAGAACGCGCAGTAATTCGTAGAAATCCCAAGAAATGACGACGTACCTTGCAACCTTCAGCAACGGCACTTTGGTAGTTATTTCAACCCAAACGACATCTTTTCCTGAACCGAACTAAGTGGGTTTGTTGCCTAAACCTCACTGAGTTATGCACAAGCGGACACGAAAAATGAGAAGTAACTTATTGTAAGATGTCATGTATGACGATACGTTGCAGGAAGTGGATGGTAACTCTTTATTCTCATTCTTAGAGGACAGCATTTCATTTGCAAACTGACGTATTCATTAGACTGATGTAATCACGGTTAAGTGAAGCGTGCCAAAAGAAACGCATGCTGCTCGATTGTTTGGGAAGCCAGCAGGAGCCACACAATCCTCCAAACACCAATGAATTCATTATCTTTCTCTCGTGCGGTGAGAACGAGCTCTGACAAGGAAGACACAGCAGCACATACGTCTCTGCCTTCACTCACCAGACTGGCAATAGATTCAATGGAAACACATATTCATATATATTCATATCAAGTCAAACAAAAACATCTGGTGACGCTGCTTTCAGCCGTTCCAGCTGGAAAAATTTATATTTTGAAACAGAAACTAAAAATCCATCTATTGAGTCTGGCTTTTATGTCGTGTTTTATCTATATTGTTTATCATTACATCAGTTTTAGTATTCATTTCTATTTTATTTTATTTTTTGATCGATCAATGTCTCCTTCTTCTTGTTTTCATATCGTCGATCATTTGTAAAGCACTTTGAATTACATTTGATTATTTCAAAAAGGTCTACATAAATGCAACTTGATTGATTGTTAAAATCTCAAAGATACAAGCCTGCATAAGCATGAAAGTAAAACTCAGGAAGAGAAGTGAACTACAACTCCCAGGATACATTTTGGAGCATGTGCAGCTAACAGAACAGAGAAAGCTACAGATCACACCTCGTCTGATCAGACACTCGGCTAACATTCTGAATTCGCTACCGCTCTGATTTCACCTCACTGCACTGCTGAGGCTCATGGGTATTGTAGTATTTTAGAGTCTCAGAAACAGCAATAATCATATTGTTAAATCATCCGTGAGATTCCTGTGTTTCTCTGTTGAGGAATATTGAGCATTAATAAAGTACGACTCAACATGCTGAATATCTTTGAACTGAAGATCAGTTTGTAAAGTTTGCAAACTGATCTTCAGATGCTTTCAGATAACTTGCATCAGGTCTTTTTCACACGACGCCCTAGTTTTCCTCAGCCTCCTCCTCGCCTCTCCAGCCACCCAGGGCTCAGCTGCCATGTAGCTGGAACGCACCGCGAACAATGGCTGCTGTGTGGGACTCCGGGGGGGGGAGGTGGGGGAGAGAAGAGAGAGAGAGAGGGAGAGGGAGAGAAGGGCTGGACGGGTATGGAGAGAGACTGGTACTGATTAAGAGAGAGAGAGTAAAAGAAAGGGGAGAAGTGAAAGAGAGACGGTAGAAATGGAGTGAGAGAGGGAGGTCCAGGAGTTGGAGTCCGTCCAGCTCTGGGTGAGGAGGGAGGGAGGGAGGGAGGGAGGCTCCGCTACGCCCTTTTATCGGGTCACACAGTTCAGCTGGAGGCCCGGCTGTGTGCAAATATAAAGGTTGGTAAACACCAGTCTGCAATCGTTACACATGCAAATCAGCAGCTTACAGCAGGATGTGCATGTTTTTAGGAGGACTGATTAGGAGGCGGACCACCTTTGTTGTCGAGGTCTCGTTATTCTGACACTTCTCGTGTCCAAGAACTCCCCGACGTGTGCTTCTAATGCAACTTATCTGTGAGAGAAGCAACCTGCAGCACACTGGGTTGAGGTAAGGAGGAGTTAAAGGAAAGGAAAGGAGAGACGACACAGAGCAAACAAACACATACAGAACCCGGTGAGGAGGAATTTTAAGGAGCTCGACAAATGGGTGAGGGAAAGGGGAGAGAGAGGAGACGAACGAACGAGGAGACGAGGAAAGGAGGATCAGCAGGCGTAAAAAAGGAAGCAAGGCCGTAACGTGATTATAGAGACAGCCAAAAAAAAAAAATGAAGTGTGAAAGAAGTGAGGGAGCGGATGAGGAGAGAGAGAAAGAGAGAGAGAGAGAGAGAGTGTGGGAGGGAAAGGCCTAGCGTTGCCATGGAAACTGGGAGCTATCAGCTGACTCCATGTTTTTCCACTCCTTCCCCACCCAGTTCATCTTTCCATCACCCTCCTCTTCCTCCCTTTATCCTCTCTCTCTCTCTCTTTCACAACCACAACCCGTTCTCACCTTTTCTCTCTCCCCCCCCCCCCCCTCCAGGATCTCTCGCTCCTCACAACAGCCACACCCTCATGTCTTCCCACCTCGCCCTCTTGTCCCTCGTCGGATTTTCATTTTCCACCCACTCCCTCTCCTGTTTTTTTCCTCTCTCTCTCTCTCTCTCTCCCTCTCTCTCTCTCTCTCTGCCCTCTCTCTCTCCCTCTCTCTCTCTCTCTCTGCCCTCTTTCCACGGTTTTGCTCAGATTAGACCCACAACTCTTTGCAAAAAATCCCAAAAGAGGAGGAGAGGATGTAAGGAAAGCTGATCTGAGAGACAGAATGAGGAAAAAGGGAAACTTTCTGATTAAAGGGAATTAAAAACTAAACTTTCCTTGACACTCTTCAGAATATGATGAAAACATTTAACGAATAGATATCACCATGAAACTTCACCAGTTCATTACTGAGACAATTATGTTTTGTGTTTTTCTGACATGACATCTTTAAATATGCAAATGAGGCATTATGTAACGGTAACTTTTGGTGGATTTAGGAGAAATCTACAGACACAAACAGACAAAGTGGTGAAATAAATCTTTCTACGTGTGGAAGCTCTAAATTGACCAGTGCGTGAAAAACATTGTCTTTGTCTGAAGAGTTTTTCCTTAAACATGTGTTTGAGACCAAAAAAAAAAAAAGAGCCCAAATCTGAGAATCGATGAGCTTTAATTAAGATTGACCAAAGCGTGTTGTGCGATCAGACACAGTGGAGCTCTTTCTCTTTCACCAATCCTGATTTGAATGTGAACACAAAGACTCTGTCTCCGTGTCGTCTCCGCACAAAAGACCAGAAACTGAACTTCACTTGACAGTACATCCTCACCTTTTCACTTCCGTGAGTCGAGGACAAAAGGGGCCATAAAATAACTTAAGGAACCACAACAATCTGCCAGGACACCTTAAAACAATAAAGTCAACGTGTCTGGATGCAACACGAAGAGAAAGAAAAAAACCTCGCCGAGCCACAGACGCCCCCCGCCCCCCCCCTTCTCAGTTCAACTGCTACCGCCATAAAATGGGTCACCCAGTCTTCGCCTCGCAATTAATTCATGTGATCTCCAACTTGAATGGAAGCGGCGAGCGGCTGTGACTGCGAGAAAGATGGGAATGAAATGAGTCCGCAGGACGTATTTAACAGAAGTAATGCAGCTCTGCTATCGGCCACCTTATGTGGCCCCCAGAGGAATATCTACATGTGTCATTAAGGCCCTATACATATATACATATATACATATATATATATATACAGACACGTCTCTGTCAGCAGCGACATGACGAACACGTTAGACGTGGTGGAGGCAACCGCTACAAACCATCAGCAAACTCCCATTGAGAAATTACAGGTTCAAAATGAAGGAACAGATTTCACCATGAAACCTTCCCAGTTGAATACTTATATCAAGACAATTAGTTTTTGTATTACAAGTTTTCTGAAATGTTATGTTTGAATATGCAAATGAGGCATTCTCCAATGGTAACTTTATGAGAAATCTCATACAAGATACAACTCTTCCATATCGTGTTACACTCTGCTTCCTCAGAGATCGCCCTTAAAAACAGACGTCAAACGTCTCTACAGTTGATACAATAGATCACTCATTACGTTATCTACACAAACCACAACCAGGTTCAGTTTCACTTTATGGGCTGTAGTTCCGCCTCACAGAGAGGCCCTCCTCCTCCTCCTCCTCCTCCTCCTCCTCCTCCTCCTCCTCCTCC